TGCCCCCCCCCCCCCCCCCCCAAACCACCACCAACCCCAACAAAAAGTTACCATTTTTTAATTGTATTTTAAACAGATATAAATGAAGCGAAAATAGGGTAGAAAAGAATGGGGGCTAAGTTCTTTAGCCTAAAGCCTCACTAGCTTCAGGATTAATTCTACAAATAACCTGCTTCTTTCCTTGCTTTGAAAGTCCTAGCTAAGTAAGGACATCCTTGAGCTCTTTCATTCGAAAGCACGCTAATTTGTGCCCCCACCCACCCCCAACAAAAAGTTTCCATTTTTCACTTGTATTTTAAACAGAAAGAAATGAAGCGAAAGTAGGGTACAAAAGAACAGGGGATAAGTTCTTTAGCCTAAAGTTTCACTAGCTTCAGGATTAATTCTAAAAATAACCTGTTTCTTTCCTTGCTTTGGACGTCCTAGCTGAGTGAGGACATCCTTAAGCTCCTTTATTCGAAAGTATGCTAATTTGTCCTGTCAGAGAGGATAAAATAATTCAATAAACCCATCAGGAAAGCGAATACTACACAAAATCTGGCATATACAGCAATCTCCCCAAAACAATTAGTACAACAATAAGACCATTCACATTCAAGTCACATGTGACCAAAAAATAATAATTTAAAAAAAAGGGCAAGAAAGAATGTGCCAAGTCAAACAATCAATTTACATAGTATTCATTCTTTCAGAGCATATATAAAATGTAAAAACTAAAAGTTAACAAAAATGGTGAACTGATTCTGAAGCCTAATATCTTAGCACTGTCTCATAATTCTTTGAAGGGAAGGCTTGGGAATCAGCTTCACCCTAGGAAGGGGCAAATAAAAAGAATACAAACTTCGCAGAACACACAAGCATTCCATTTCGGCATACACCTACAGGAAAAGACAACTCCACTCTCCGCAGTTTGTGTCTTAGGCATGAGACCAATTTCATTTTTCAATAAAAATATTCTTCTAGTTAGTAAAAGGGCCATACACCAATAAAAATTCAAAGAAATAACTACTTCAAAAGCAATAGAAGCTAACTTTCCTTCTTACCATCTATGATGCACCGATACAAACACGAGTGTACGATATGCCGACACGTAATTTTTCAAAAAAGTACTAATATAATATGTCGACAACACCTTGATTAAATTATTTAAAAAATTTCATTTAATAGTATAACTTTAGTTTTATATTTATTATTAATTTTTCTTGTTGAAATTTTTAAAATATGAGTACCTATTTGTTATTTAATAATAACTTTGAGTTAAAAATATAAAATATTTATGATAAAGAAAGAAAAATAACCACGGTAGAATGTCGGCATCTGACAACACGCCCGAAACTATTATACTTACCATATTTTTTACCATATCGCATAGTTTGCCATCAACGGAACTGTGATCAAAAGTTTTCTGTCTCTCGTTAACACATTGAGATGCCAGCTATTGTGGCTATAACAAACCAGTTCAACTCAAAAGTTGATAAATAAAGAATCTTTGAGACTACCTTTTTATTAGAGATTAATTTCTCATTCATGGGAGCTAACAAGTTAATTGGGGTAACTATCTTTCCAGTGCTATTGTAGGCATACCATAGCTGCACGGATCATAGAAAAGATCCTTGATTGAATCTAATTTCATGCAGGCTGACATGTGGAGACTGCAGGCAAACCCATAAAGAACTTTAAATTTATGCATCAAGATCTAGTGGAGCGTAGTTTCCAATAAAGATTAGTGATCAAACTTTGCCTGTTTGGGTTACCAACGAAAACCATATTTCAAGCAAAACAACCTTGCCATATTAATAAACAAACCATGTAATTGCAGGATGGCCAAATCACCAAATCATGCACAAAACAATTAGTGATGCTAGTTTCTTGCATAAAGTAACCATATCAGGTTAAAACAACCTTGTGTAATTGGCACAAGAACAAAACCCATATCATAACATGCTAAACAAAGCTCATTACTACTTCAGTCAAATTTAACAGTTCTCAAAAGAACACAGCTCGTCACATTCAATGAGATTATCAAAAGCTAACAAGCATTGCCAGCAGAGTTTCCGAACCACACAGTGGAATGAAAATTCAACGAAAACACCAGATTTCATCAGTATGAGGAAGAAATCAGTTGCACAGAAAAATTGATTCGAATAACATCCTGAAATGAAGTTAAATTTCACCTTACAACTCGTCACTAAATCCATCTTCTTACCCTCCTTCGGTCACTCTGCAGCACACCTCAATTACAAAACAAAAAAAGATAACAAAAAAAAAAGGGGGGCGAAAACAGTCTTCAATCAACAAGGGCCATGCACCTCTCCAATTAACAATCGATCTGCTCATAAAAAAATAAAAAATTAGCCATCAAAACCCTGACCACTCACATCAACATTAAAATAACTAAGCTCATAACAAAATCAATACATATAATCACACATACGCCGACATAAATAAAATAAATTGCATAATCAAGTATAATTAAACAAAGATAATGACAGGCCTCACGTTTAGGGATAGATTAACACGGATTAAATTAAAAATTACACAGATAGAGAACGAATTGGGGTGCACCTGAGGATGAGAAAACTAGGGTTTCGTAGACCTCGCGGCGAGTCAAATTTCTCTTTTTTTCTCTTCGTGCATTGGGTCCATACACACACAAACACGCACTGGTTGTGTTGTTTTGACCAAACCAACCAGAAGACGAAGCTACCATAATTCCGGACGTATCATCGGTTTATCAATTCCGGTTTGTTCCTCGCAGATACGTCCGGGTTTCGATTCCGTGCTGTCGCTTACGTGTCAGTTTTCCGCTTTTTCATTTTATTCCTATTTTTATTTCTAGTTTTTGCCGTGGAAGCGCTGTGGCTTGTTTTTTATGTATTTAAAAATGATCCTACGTAAAGATTTACAATGTTACATGTCAATTTATCATTTGTCAATTTATAATACAATTAACTTTTTTATTCAATCTTTTTTTGCTACGTCATTTTTTGTAATATCTTATGTATCATTTTTATGTACAAATAGTATAATTCATTTAAAAAATTAGAAGAGCATTAATAGACTGGAATCATATGTAAACGTTGTTCTCGTAACTCGCATTACACAGCTATACCTTGAAGTACTGTAACCCCTCTATATTTGACTTATTTCTTGTGAATTTTAACGTACAACACTATTAACTCAAGCAGGTTGTCACGGACCTAGAGAACTCCCCTACTCAT